GGGAGCAGACAGTGGCAAACCTTTCAGCCCAGAACAAACACAGCCGCTGACTTGCTGTATCTATTAAATGACACGTCTGACAGTGTGGGCTTTACCTCCTCAAACAGAATGAGTGATGTGGCTGTTTTCTTGTTCTGTGGCACTCTGTGATCACAGCCTGCTGTTTGGTTGCCTGGTTTCTTGCCGTCTGTTTTTTCAGATGGCGACAGGCCACCAGAGTGTAAGAGATCCGCTTTGTTCTTCATCTTAAAGTAGTTGGCCAAACTGACCGTGGCTGGGTTAGCTTTTCTTTTGCGAGCGGAGCGGCCAAAGCTCTGCGCTGCTCTCTTTTTTGAGGAGGAGGAAACATTTTTTGAAGTCACTGTTTTTCCTGTTGAAGAAAAAAGAGTGGAAAAGCCTGTAAAAACAAGTTTCACAGTCTACTAACAAACATTCAGACACAACACAAACCAGAAAGAATCAGGCGTTTCACAGGATATTCTTGTTGCGTGGTCAGTAAGTTAAATAGACTGTTTATATTTACAGTCGATGGTAAGTAGAAGGAGGATTTTGGACATACATCTGCAAAAAAAACAGTGTCATCATCATCTGAGTCCTACCAGGTAAAGTGTCAGCTTTTAAAGTGCAGCTGTAGTTGCTGAAGTAAGCTGGCTTCAGAGGGTCTTTCCCCGACATCTCCACTAGGTGGGACTGGGTAGCTTCCTTCAGCTGGGACAGAACATGGTGTCCACTCCGCTGTGAGGAACAGTTCACCTCAAATACCTGTGAGTGAAAAGGTTAATAAAGACGGACGATTTGTCTTATCAAAGAGTGACGTCCAGATAATTCTCGGATTTGAAAATCTTGATTTACTTTCTAAGGAAATTGAAATGTGCCGTGCTATTCTTCTTGAAATGATTTTCCAGTTGATTCCCTTCTGATGTGTTCTCAGAGGGAACAAGCAGTTACTACATGCTGGCAAAGAGTCACACAGTGTCATTCTCATTTTTGACGCCCAGGTCCCAAATGTAAGAGCAGCTTTTATATCCTTAAAAGTGTAAACGGTAAATGCAGTCGAACAAACCTTCTCAAGAGTGAGTTATAAAAGAGTTATAAAAAAAAAAAATGAAGGCCCTGTAGAGTGGGTACCATCAAATAAATGAGCTAATGATGATAAGGCTGTAAACATCTTTATTTCAACTTCAAAAATTGACATTTCATGTGAGATTTAACACAGATAGCAAACACTCAGGGAACTTCAGTTTTTTTTTTTCCACTTCTGCCTTGGCTTCCTTTTTTAACTGAGTACAACCTGTCCTACATTCGACATGTGTTTATGTTTGAACACTTGTTCTCGAGGACGCGCTAATACAAAGATGTTAACTATGCCAAGCGCATATTTAGATGATATGAAACTGTATGTAGACGATCAGCCTATCACAACAAGGATTCAAAGGTATTGTCGAAGTGTGATTCTGACCTTGAAGCCGAGCTCCTGGGCACAGGCATACACTGAAGCCGTCTTGCCCACACCTGGAGGTCCTCGTATGAGCATCGTGTTACACAGCGGCTCCTCCTCTGCCCCGGCTTCACCCAGGAAGTCTCCACAGTCCCATGAGCCTGCACAAGAAGACACTCATTGCTTTTTTTTCAACCAAACACACCGCAAACATGGAAAACTCTGCGACCTCCTGCATCATAAAACGTCATGCGGAAAGAATAAGCAGGCTCATGTCAGCGTTTTAGAAACTACATCACAAGGTTAACCTGACGCTGAGATATTAAAGGAAAATGTGTGAATAAATCCAGATCATACCGTTGCTGTTTTCTTCTCGTTTTCTTTCCTCCAGTTTCCTCCTTTCCTCGCAGTCAGCCCTTAGTTTCCATTTCTTCAACCAACTGAACTCATAAGGACAACAACATTACACACTTCGGACTCACACCGACTTCAGATGCATTCGCAAAAGGGCGATGGACTCATGACATCAAACCCACCTTTGCAGTTTACTCACAGACACAGAGTTGCCTATGACTTCACTTGAGTGCTGAGGACTGTATTTGTCTGTCCAGAGAACATCGTCATAACTTGAATCTGGACAGACGATGAGAAAAAGGTCAATTTCTGATTTTTAAAGGAGGCGCCACGGCATAGATAGACAGATAGATAGATAGATAGACAGATAGATAGATATATAGACAGACAGGTAGGTAGATAGATAGATAGATAAATAGATAGACAGATAGACAGATAGACAGATAGATCGATAGATAGATAGACAGACAGATAGACAGACAGATAGGTAGATAGGTAGATAGATAGATGCTTTATTGATCCCGAGGGAAATTCAAAGCATCCAGTAGCAGGTTACAAAGACGTACATGACATGAAACATTTGTTACAAATTAAACCACAAACCCCCCGCTCCCCCCCCCATACATATATATTAACCCAAAAACAAGATTTAAAGAATACCCTGAGATGACACAAACTTAAACTGTGCAATTAAAAAAGGTAGAAACTAGGTAGAAACATGTACCTGTTTGGGGACTGTCAGAGATTTTGAGTGACTTGCTGTCACATTGGGTGTGTGTTATTAGTCCAGAATTCAGTTCACTGGTATTCACCAGGCCTGGCTGGCGTCCACTTTGCTGCTTTAGTCTGTGTGTGCGACTTAGCCTGTTGATTCTGGACTGCTTCTTCCCCGCCAGGACGGGACTTTCCTGGACACTGTGCGGCGGGGTTCGACAGTGATCCACACCAGCAGCACCCTCTGCTGCGACACCAGACCTGAGACGCTTGGGCACCCTCTCTGAGCTTTCATTCCTGCGTTTTCTCTTCTCCTTTAAGTGGCTATGAAGGGAGCCGAGGGTGGGGGCGTTTTCTACTTTGAAAAGAGATTTTTATTTTTTTTAAAACACAAGTTCAATGAGATGGGATGGCTTTGTAAAATTAAATTGAAGATCTTCAGAATTGTTACAGACCTCACCTTTAGATCTGAAAGCATGCAGACCCTCACTCGCTTTCTTCTGCAAAGTGCTGAACACTGCTTGGACTGGAAATGCAGGGTTAGATGTTTGGATGTCTTCCAGGTGACAGTGCAGAACTGAGGCTGAAAGCTTGTCTCTGCAGGACCCCTTTCTCTTGGTCAGGTGGGACACTGTTGACAGTCGCTGCTGGTGATCTTTGCAGTGAGGAGGAAGCTCTGATTTCTGCAGCCTCTCTTTAAGTTGATCCAGCTTCCCATCACAGCTGCTGTGCTGTGCTGTGTTCAGGAAAATGGGAGCAATTTTAACGCCTTTTGTGCCACAAGTCATCCTCATTTCCTGGAGGGGTTCGTTTATTCTGGTGGAGCAGACATCGGCGACGTCATCTCGACATCTGTCCTTTCCTGCAGACGATGCGGGGTCTTTTTCTTCATCGTCAGAGCACCTCTTCTGTCCACAGCGGGTCTTTGGTTTGCGGTGATGCATCTTTACATTTCTTGATTTGTTTGAGTTTATTTCGCATCGTAAAAAAACACCCTTCATTCAAACGCTACGCGCTGGCATTTTGACTTTGGCGCTCTGACGTCATATTTGTGCAACAGTGTTTTTTTTTTTAATTGCTAACAGCAGTGCCATTTAGCTGAATAATGTATGCGTCACAAATAAACACAACTCACCTCTTAAGCGTTTTAAATATTGTGTAATATTTAAAATGTCCAAACCGAAGACCAAACTGATGGAGAATGACGTGTAAAGCGAGCGCGAGACGGTCCTAAGTTTTAGACAAAGATCGTCTATGCTGAACAGACACGGCACAGGGAGCTCTTACACGGATTAAAAAGTAAACTGAACTGATTAAAGCAGGGCCCCCCCACCCCCATCAACCCTCAACGTGGCCCTCAGGTCAATTTTTTACACATCAATTTATTGGTAACATGAAGAAAACATGACTGAAATCTGCCATGAAATCATGAAAATCAGAAATATGTCCATCGTAAGATTTGATCACTCGTATATGTTGAGTTAAATTTGAAAAATGAACTGCCTGTAATCGTTGTTGTAGTCTACAATTTGGCCCTCTGGCTGTGAGAATTAAATGAAGTTAAAAGAGGACGAATAATAATGATAATTAAAAAGTTAAATCCAAAGGTTGTTTCTAAAAGATGGCCTTTAAATATACTTTAATGGAAGACATAACATCAATAACTCCAACACTTGTTCTATTCTCAATTACATTTAAGTGCATCACGTATTGATGATGCAAACGGACTTAATCAAGGGGACTTAAAATGGACCAGCATCAGCTCATACCTGAGCACCAGTACTGAATTTGCGTTTGATGGTGAACACATTGAAGTCAGCTGGATGAAATCCGAGAGAGATAGAAGGTAAGAACAGACCAAAACGAAACAAACCCGATGTCTGCTCTGTGCATGTCTCAAGTTAATACTAGACTGAAATTGTAATATGAGACCCTTGAACTTCACAACACATCAGGGAGTTAACATTAAAATGTTATGCTAATGAAATATCTAACTTGGACTTGACTGATTGTTTTTCAAACAGCAGATGACACGAGTCTAAACTCAGAGATCTCTTCATTACATGTTCTTGGGTACAATTTCTCAAATGTAATAGTCTGTGTTAAAGTCCACACACTAAGCAAACTTGAAGAAAACTTCTAGACTATTTTGTTGGTGTTTGCCTTATTTACATAAAAAAGTAGCTACAAGATAACTGGTAAATTACAAAGTAAATAGGGCGAAAGTCAGATTTTTTTTTCTAATAATAGATGCTTTAGCCTGAAGAGCGCGACATCATTCAAACAGGGCCACTGTACACACACTGACATGCATGTGATTTTTGGTAAATTACTTAGATCCATTCCCTATTTTGGAGTCTTACCCTGAACACTGACAGAGGAAATTCATTCATGGCCTAAAGTAGACACACACACACACACACACACACACACACACACACACACACACACAGAGTGTAATGATGCGTGGTTTCCAAAACGTTACAGACACAAGTAAGGTCAAATGTATTTTTATTTCTTTAAATATAAAAATCCCCATATCCAGAGTGTACAGTTCACAATTTTGAAACAGGGTGTTCAGACAATATTAGTGAATACGTCTCCCCTTTTCCCAGATGAATACAGAAAACCCTCCATGAATACTGGAAGCAGGAAAATATATTGGTAATTTGGTTTTCCACAAGGAAGTCTGGTGAAACAGTAACGTATGATGATCAACCAAATTCATGTGCACACTACAAAAACACTAGTGTCAATTTCGTTTTCTTTTTTTTTAAAGAAAGTTGCCATGAAATGAACAAAGTAAGACCTCTAATAAAATGTACTGAACTAAGAGAGTGATGGACATATTACCCTTTGGCATTAACTGCACCTAAAAGAACACACTATGAGGTTGGACCTGGAAACCAAACATGTGATGAAGAAGAGCATATTGCTTTGAGAGAAGAAACTGCCACTTGTTCAGTCATGGAGTTAGAATGGGGAACAGCTAAACATTTGATATAATTACATGTATACACATTTCTGTCAATAATCAGCTACTGGTAGTTATGTTGGAACTCCAACATGTTCAGACCTTGACATGATAAAAAAAAAAAAAAAAACTAAAAGGTGCCAGCAGCATTACAAAACTGTCCGCTTTACATCTTGCTCGCTATGCACACTACATGATACATGGGGTGATGTTCTGCTGGTTGTTTCAGTAAATCTTCAGAAAGAAAAAAAAAAGATTCAGAAAAGTTCCCTGGCTTTCCTTGAGCTATTAACAATGCAGGCCAAAAAAGGCGTAGGGGTGATGAAGTAGGAGTTTTCCATTTTATCTTCCAGGCAGATAACCAGTGAAAACCAACAGTCCATTTCAGGCCTTCAGACACGAGCTGTAAAGGCTTTATATACTCTAGAGACAATGTGTAGAAACCTTCAAATGAAATGTCATTCACAAATGTGAAATCAAACCCACCGAGGTTTCTCTGCTGGTGACACCAGAAAAGGCTGCATTTAACATTTTGGCGCAGCAGGAATAAAAACAAAAAAAGAAAAGAAAAGAAGAGGACAAATTTACGGTGAGCCTCCTAAACACAAACACCAAGTGCTAAAAGAATCAGCTAAAAGGATACGTTTCCAACAGGGTTACTGTGTGTGTGTGTGTGTGTGTGTGTGTACAAAGAATCAACAGTGACAATGTTACCAGTCCAGCTTTAACTGTAGTCTTCGTACAGTTTTCTAGAACAAGAGGACATAACAAAGACGGTTGTGCCACGTCAGAAGACTCCCGTTTGTCCACACTCTCATCCAATCACAGATCATCATGTACTTCAGCGGCACCTACAAATGCATATGACGTAGGTTCAACTTGCATCAGTCAGTCCTCAAACTCCTGGTTTGTGTAGAAGTGGGTGATTCACTTTGATATTGTTCATATTTGGTTCAAATCTCAAGTTCCAAAAACTTGTTTACCTTGTATACAGGTCTGCTTCAAGTCAGAACCTCCAGAGACCAGTTCTCACGCCTATCTAAGCACCAAAGGGTCGGTAATGTTCATTAAAGGAAAAACAAAATGAAACAACGAAAATTTAAAAAAACACACGACAATCATTGTTCCATGAATTTTGGCTCCAGCCTGCATCAGTCCGTCAGTGCGCTTTTTGTCCTCTTGCCCTGTTTCCCTCCAGAGGAGGTGACGGAGTTCCCATTGCAGGCTCCGGCTGAGGCCAGAATCTGGTCTCGCTGCTCCTCCTCGGTGTTCGGCAGCTCCTCCTGGATCTGTCTCAGGCGGGCCATGGCGCGGTCGATGGTGGCCGTGCTCACCAGGTTGAAGTCGTGCATGCTGACGAGATGCAGGAGGAAGTTGCGGCAGAGGTTGCGGCGGATGATGTAAGCACCGTTGTTCTCGGCGAAAAACATGATAGCGTGATTCATCTGGTTGTCCGCTATGAAACTGCAGAGAGAGAGAGAACAGAGAATGAAGTGTTAAAACTGTACAATTACAGCCTATTACAACTATATATACAGCTCTGGAAAAAAATAGGAGAGCACTGAAAAGTGTGTGTTGCCCGCTGATTCTACTATTTAAAGGTTTGTGTTTGACTAAAATTAATGTTTCTCCCAAATGAAATATTCTCATCTAGATCTTTTATTTGCAAAAAATGAAACTTGATTATAACAAAGAGATGCAGTGTTTTTTTCAAACGTACAATATGTGGAGTTTTATTAGAATGCACGACATGTTTATTGTTGCCATGGAAACGAAAGACAGCTACACAAGGAAGTGGTAATTCTTACTGAAAGCTGCCGTATGTGCTGCTGTGATTAAAAAACGTCATGTAAATGATACTTGGATACATCGTCTGTAAACATTATGGTCTGTTTCGCCTGGTCGTCTTGACTACGGTCAACACAAATCTCGTTTTCATTGGGAGGTAGTAGCAGAGAGAATCACTCCCATGATTCCCCACCAGCCTCAACGTTATTGTTTTGATTGAGAGGCCACTGGCGGAGGAATATACATACTGTGCCTTTAAACAGCTAAAAGTGCAATGAATACATGTTCATCATTTTTTTTTTTTTTTGATAATTTTTTTTTAAAATACCAAAGTTTTAACAGTTACGGCTTTTGTGCGTCTGTGCATGCTCACCTTCCGTCCTTCACATTTCTGTTGTTGGGGGACCTTATGACAGAAATTGGAGCACAAATTAAAGCAGCATGGCTTTATTCAATGACTTGTCAGGTGATCATCAATACCTCAAAGATGTGAGGTGTACCTGTGTTGACATTCAACAGACACTGAAATAGGGATGTGCGCTTTTGGTCAACTCAATGTTTAAAGTCATCAGTCTCACTAGTCGGCAAACAGAATTACTAATCCGTTACATTAAATATTCATAGCTTTATAAATTGGTGATCGAGCTGTTCAAATGTTATGCCTTGATTGCAACGCAGCCCCCTGCCAACAGGTGGCGCTGTAGCCATAGACTGGCTGTAGCTGCGGTTGATGGGCCTGCTCTTTCAGATCAACTACCCAGATGTAAACAAGCACATAGCATAGCATAGCATAGCAGATAGCAGCAAATTAAGATAAAAACTGTTTGTAGGCTATGTCAGATTAACCTGGCACATCAAGCAGAGCCATGTGTAAGCACATTCAGCACAGGCATGTGGATGTTAACCTGCAGGGAAGGCCCAACAGCTAAAGGTGCTAACGTTAGCTACACTAGGCAAACCAATTTGATAATTTGACACCCCAAGACAATTTTAAATAAATAGCAGTTTATATATGACTGTTTGCAGAGAGTGTCCCCTTCAGACTTGTCGGTTCATCTGAATTTAAATTTCTGTTTAACCGACTGTAATTAGTCGTACACTAGACTGACTTCTATGCATTTAGAGATACTGAATCAAGGAATATTTGGTGTGGCCTTTTTTTTTTTTTTTTCCAGAGCTATACACAGAGTAATACATGATTCAACGACAGCTGTATGGAACATACCCGTGCTTCATGACGTGCAGGTTCCACAGCTTCATCACCTCCTTCTCTCCCTCGTTTACATCTGTGAACTCATCCAGTTGCTGTACGACACAAAAACAAAATCAGATATGTACAATTATGATCTTGTAACAAAACATCTGTCGTCTTGTCTGTTAAAACACTGCAGCAGTAAAAAAAAAAAAAAAAAAAAAAAAAAAGAACCAAGACGATGACAAATTGATGGATTCACTTAAGAAAAGCGAAAGCAGCCATGATGGCAAACAGTTATAAAGAATAATATGTCATACTCCGGTACTTGTCAATTCATAGGACACATTTTCAGTGTGTGATTTAAGAGCAGACAGTCGTGCTGGCAGATTCAGGAGATCGATACTGAAGTGATGAAATGCTGTTTACTTGTGCAAGTGCACGCTGTAGAAACGGCTCTGTGTTGGCAACAGTTTTTAATCTCAGCACCTTTAGGTTATTTATGTGCAGGCGGACACTTTGAGTCTTTGTTGCCATGGTAATCAGACACCAAAATCTGTACAACAAAGCTTCAACAGGGATGTGATTGGCAAAGGAGGAAAAGGCAGGAAGCGGATTGTGCCAGCTACCTTTGTTTGAGTTCACAAACTGCTTGAATTAGTGAACACACACACACACACACACACACACACACACGATAAAAGTGTCCATCTGTATATTATAATTAGAAACTTCCCAAGATGCGCAGAAAACCAGCTTCCCAAGCACGATGCTAAAGTGCTTCCAATCTCAAGTGTGCATCCCTGCAAACCTTTTTAGCGTTAGACGAATTGTTCACTGTTTAACAAAGTTGAAGCTGAAGATGTCCCACCACTTTCAGTAATGTCGGTGCATTACTGAAAGTGGTGGGACATCTTCAGCCATCAGTGAAGCCGATGAGTAAAGGTTTCTCACCGTGGCAGTCTTCTCTCTGAGCCACTCTGGATCTCTCTCGTCCTCGCTGTCCAGTTCCATCTCCTGAGGCCGCAGGGGCATGCAGCTGTCACTGTGGAAGTACAGTCGGTTGTGTCCGCTGACGTAGGTCCTCTGCTGCTCCAGTTCTCCGTCCTCAGTCTCCAGGAACTCTGACAGACTGGGTTTGGTCCTCTTGGGCCTGGTGGAAACGAGAGAGAAACAAACCCAAAAAATACACCATGTACATCTGAAATAAGCTTCCTGTGTTTGTTTATATATTCACTATACTGTTGAGTACTCATTTTTCTGACTTCATTTTCAAATTGCATCCAACCCTAATTTGCTTTGCACAATACACACCTTCTGAGGGTAAAATGAATCAGAGTAATGTGTCATCCCTGGAGGAGATGTCAATATTAAAGATCGATATTTAGGGAGATTCAGGAATATTCAAAAGGCTGCAATCAGCTAGAGAAATTGAGATTTTCTCTAATCTTCACCAGCTTGTCCTCTTAGTTTCCCCTGACTCATGGTTGACTCTATATGCAGCAGAATTTGATGAAAAAAGAAAACTACAGCGAGAGAATCAAAAACTGTAGTGGGCACATCTTGAGTGACTCAGATGTGTGCACAAAATAAAGAGTCATAGCTTCACGATGAATTCTCATTTTACCAAAAGCAGGGGGCAACACTGTCATGAAGCAACTTCTCATTTTGGCCGGCACTATCCATCATTTAATGTTTGCCAGAGGCAGATATCAGCTGTACCTCTTCAACGCTCGAGCAAAAATAAACTGAACTCTGTAGGAGGCTTTTTGTGGAGTAACAGAGAGAACTGAGTTTAACTGAAGTCTTAACAAATAAATAAATAATGCTGGTTTTTCTCTTTCAGAACCTGACATCTTGATTTCTTGAGTAACACAAACCACAGAGAAGATTTGAATGAGTTGACTTGTAGACTCGTGGAGAAGAACAAGTTTACCTGCAAACCAGTATGTGGGTAACCGCGGTCCTCTTGACTGGCCCATTGCGGCTGAAAGCGAAGCCCGGCTGGCTGTGGATGTCCTGAGGGTTGCCAACATACGAGCCGTCATAGCACTCGTTGATGGACACGTCTATCCGTGCTCCTTTTGGGTGAGGCTAAAGGTTTGAAAAAAAAAGAGAAAACATTGGCAAACACACAACAGGTAAGAAGAGGGAAAGAGAAAGATGGAGGATAAGGAGCTTGATGATGAGCAGGTAGGAAAGGCGGAGGTTTCCCTTGATCCCCTCGTTGCACTTTGTAGCTCGACAGCAGGTTTGAAACACAACTCCTCAAAATTGAACAAACAATGTTTCTCCTGCACTATGTGAGAATAACAGCCACTCAGCAGGCCTCCCCAATCTGTCTCTGATTCTTGAAATACAAATCCAGAAATCAAAGTGTGCTCTTAGCCATCCAAAGTCTGGTATCGGTCGACATCATTTTTTCCCCTTACAATTGTAAGAGGAAAGTAAGCAATGCACACTCCTCATGTCGAGGACATCGTTGTTGACTTGTCGTTTGCGTTTTCATGTGGACAAAGATGCGTGTGTGTAAGGATTCTTTTTTTTTACAACGGAGGAGGAAAACCTTTGTTTAAAAAATATATATATAAAAAATACCCGCCTACATGTGGACTAGGCCTTAGACAAATACTGAAACAAAGAACACGTGCAGTATCTCACCACATAGTTGAAGATGAAGCGCGAGTGGGAGAGCTTGAGGTGTTTGAGCAGGCTGTAGAGTTTGCTGCAGTTCAGGGTGCACCAGGGGCAGTGAAGGTCGTCCCTCGCCTCGGTTTGCTGCCGTGTGTTATTGTTGTACAAGAACTGAACAAGAAGGAGCATATTTAGTTTCAAAGGAAACGAGGAAGTCAACCGCTAACAAATTCACCTGGATGATTGTTAAGAGTAATAACACAACACCAGAGCTACTGTCATACATTCTGGTACCTACAGATTCACAGAGCTGAAAATGCTATGACCTATGATATACGAGTGTGCTTTATGAGTTTAGATTGTCAGTTACATTCAAGTCAACATTTTTTGGGTTTCAAATCATAACACTAATTCCAAACAAGAAGAAAAATGTCTTCAGTAACAAAGACCACAAATACATTCTGCTATTCAGCCACTTACAGGTGGTTGTACATCATTAGTCCAACGGCCATATGTGTTCCTGTGTTTGTTGTGTACCTGATAAAATATACGTAGCTTCTGCCGAGGCTCACACGGGACCTGCTCTTTCCTCGTCTGAATGTCTGTGCTCACTGACTCTTTCACTGCTGCCGGGAACAGATGGAGATTTAGTTATTTCTTGGAGAATCACAAATCTTAAATTCGACTTGAGACATTCAAACATGTTTTTAAGAAATGGTAGCAAATGTATTGTTTCACCAAGACATCAACATATGAAATGACAGCACACACACATGACTGTTGAAGCCCCCTTTAACACATGCAGTATGTAACATATAGAACGACGTCGGATGATGCCTCTGTCTTCTAAAAAAAAAAAAAAAAAAAGTTCTCTGTTATGTTAGACGTGGTTCTGTGTCAAACATGAAAGGACAATTGCATTCAAAGGAGCAGTGTTTGTGAAGTGTTTGGCATTACACCACCAACCACAACAGTTTGGCTGTACAGGAAGGTAAGAGAGCGTTTTAAGTCTTTCATGTGTCCCAACAGCACGCAAGCGTCACACGTTGCGTCACATCGGTCGCACGCTGTCCACAATTCAACATTTAAATATGCACTTCTTTTGCTCTGTGGATTTCTGGTTCCCCTTGTAAACAGTATGACGTCTAGTGCTTTTATTTTGAAGGTGGAGAAACATTCTGCCTTTGTGTCAACACGAATCAAAGCACCACATTTCAGTCCCAGATATGTATTATTAGTGCACACTGCACCACAAGCTAATACGCTCTGCTGAGAGACAAAAGCTAAAGCCAATCAAGTAAACACACTTCCAGCTCCTCGTCGAGCTTCCTCGTTCCTTGTCCATGTCTACACTAGCGACAGAACTGGGCACGGGGGTGAAAACGGCGCGTCCCGATGCTTTCACAATGCATTGGCTCGCGGGCTGTTAGGACACTCCAGTAAGAAACAACAGATCAAGCTGATTTTGTCGTTAAACGTGTTTTCTGTTTTTAAATGACCATAATGAATCCTGGAAGGTGGCTCCACCCCTCTTTTGCCTCGTCTAAGTTACTAAAGATGTACGGAAACCATTCTGTTCTTCTTGATATTGATTCCAACACCTAGACTCGTACAATTATCTGAGTATACCTTAGAAACTAGTGACCTAGCTCATTATTAAAAGCTTATAATTTTCTAAATATGCTGTTTGTTGAAAACTGCAGCACACTGTCTGATAACACCACACTGACACTGTCACAAGATAGTCCACCTGAAACAGGTGCAAACAGATTATTGAAGTACTGGATCGATGCATTGACTTCACCGATACCTGATACCAGTTATCGTACAAGGACCCTGTAGACACTCTTATAAAAGATTCTGATACATTAATTTTATTTGATAGGACGACACTGCTGCCCATTTACTGCCCAAACAGAATTCAAATTGACATCAATTATTTTTCCATTTGCACATTTGAAGCCAAATTAGCAGTTTGCCTGAAATTCATTCATCGAAACATGACAAGGAAATGACTTGAAGAGTGACATTTAAGTTGCCAGCTCATTCACAGCTGCTGAGTCACACTGAGAAGGACTCAGCGGTAATGACTCACCGAGGGCCTTTTCACAGATTTACATAGAAATAGACCAAAGATACCACAGTGGGTGGTAAAAAAAAAAAAAATTTTGCGCCTCACTCAAAGAGTCTGGTTTGAAATATAATTTGTTAAGGTGTCCTTGATTAACACCCAACAAACTTTTTCAGCTGTTTATGACCCCTTACATGTTACTCATCTGTGAGGTTGTTTTTTTTTTGTCAGCCTCCTGCCATTACATTCCTAACAGGATTTAATATCATTTCAGAATTTTGGGCCAGCCTTTTTTTATTTTTGAAGGCAATCCTGGGCTGAGACATGTTCCCTGTTGGGGTACGCTGGCTCAGTTTCTCGGTTGTTATGACTGAGGGTCGATGCAGCTCAGTTTTCAGAGTTGCCTGAAGCCCGACATGCCTTTAAAGAAAGTTAAGCTTTACTTAAAGTTAGGTAGTAGTGTTTTCTGTTTTCTACTTGTGGGAGAGTTAGACAGTTAAGCAAGTTTCATTTAGTGCTCCTTTCATGGGACGCCATTCTTGTATTGTATAAATTTGTGTGTTTTGGGTTAGGGCTGTTCTGCTTTGTAGCTTTAGTTTAGATTTCGTAAAATTACCCAGTTTGGTAACAATTAATGAGTTTGTTAGTGCTCCCTTCCTTTGTCATCAGACCCTTAAGACAATGTTGCAAGCCTACTGTAAACTTTGCCAAATTCTAAAACCTTTGCCAATTTAGATGCACACCTTTCTTACCTGGATTCCACAGAAAGCTCTGACATCATAGGGGCGATAATAAAACATTCTACTGTCTTTTCTGATGTTGGTGATGTGACTCCTGTGAAGCAACATCCATACAGAGTAACTCCTGAGAAGTGGAGACATTTTGCAGATAGAGGTAGACTTACTACCTACTGAAGCATGGCATTGCTGAACCCTTGTCTGCTCGTTGACAAGAAAAATCAGACACCTCGATTATGCACTGATTTTCCCCATCACCGAGAGCGACTGTGAACTTTCTGCTTTGTGACCCGAGATGTCGGTACACGGTTATGGCCATTGGAATGTGCAACACACCAGCCACTTTTCCGCATCTGCTGACTACAGTGTTGAGAGGTGTTGCAAACGGTGAGGCTTACCTTGTTGATGTTGTCATCTATAGCTCTGTTTGGTCTCAACCCGTAGCTCAGCTTGAGGCAGTGTTCAGTAGGCTAGCGACAGCCAATATGACCTTGAACCTTGCCAAGAGCGAATTCGGACAGGCCACAGTGACTTATCGAAGTTGTTGGTTGTGGAAGGGTTTGTCCTATCAGTGCCGAAAGTAGACGCTATTGTGAGTTTTGCTGTTCCAATTTCTCATCTTGAGTTGAAACATTTCCTTGGTATTGCAGGAACTTTGCAACTGTTGCTAACCCTTTCAACAAACCTGCTAAGCCCCAAGATCTTCCTTGTTTGGACAGATGTTTGTCTGCTGGCATTTGAGGACTTGAAAGCTGTTGGCTAGTGCTCCTGTACTAGCTGCCCCTGACTTTGACCGAGCCTTTGAGGTGGCCATTGACGTCAGTGATGTTGGGGCTGATCTTCTCCAACAGGACTCTTCCAAGTGTTGAGCATCCCTTGGACTTCTTTTCGAAGATCTGACACAAATCTTGGCCCTTACTCTGGCTCATTCTGATGTTTGTGTCATCCATTAAGCCCCTTGTGGACTATATGAACAATAACCCCTTGGACTCTTTAAGCAGGATGAAAAACTCCATCCACTGTCTCATGCGATGGAGTCTGTTCCTTCAAGGATTTACCCTGAAAATCCAGCATATTCAGAGGAGGGACACAATGTCCTTTCAAGTGATCCATGCAAAATGTCATTTCTTTCATGTAAAAATGTTGCCTTAGCACAACCCATTTATGGGAGGTGTTAAGTGCAAAACTGATCTTGTTTTTTTTAAGCACTACCTGACCTCCACTCTCTATCAACCTCTGATCGGCTGCACCTGTGTGCTTGTCTACAAAAGCCTGAGTCAAGAGTCTCCCCCTCTCCATCACGCTGCAGCCAGGATCAGAAGCATGGCTTCAAGCACCATTTGTTTTTGAGTATTTAAGATTATTATACAAAACATTTTTTTTTTCTTTTGATATATATATAATTATTATTATTTTTTTTTTACTTCTGTATGTTGCCTCCCCTGAGCCATAGTTTGAACTACCCTGTGCTACATTTGTACTTACTCATGAGGGCAGCTCGGTGGTTGCTGGTCCTTGTCTCCATGGGGCTGTAGCTGTCTGAGTTGCGGGTAGCAAGGGGTTTGGCCACAGGGGCAGTGGACTTTCCGCTGGCATCACCTGTCCAACGTAGCATGAACTGCAACGTGGGTCCCTGAGAAAATGTCTCGAATGGTGGCAGTCTCTGTGGGACGGTCAAACAGAGTAACAGTCAGTGATGAGGAGGTGTAACTAAGATAAGCAAGCCCTAGGGTTTAGATCATTCATCCTTAGAGTGACTGGCAGCCAAATTTAAGATATCACATTAAGTCAGTGAAGGGAAGCTGTTTTTTTTGCTTCAAGACTTTTCTTAAACTAAAGGAAGCAAATTTTCCTCTCATGTAGGGTTTAAGGTACAGCACACTGGTGTTATGCTCCTGCATGTCACTGACAGTCATTCTACCGTTTATCACTTAGTTGGAGTTAAATTAGCGCACTGTAACTTTACAAACACATCAAGTCGGGACGTGACAAAGGCAATGCACGCTGTTGCCTTATGTCATTTCCATTAGAACATTTCAGGAGTGCACATGTGAAAACAGCTAGAGAATTAGAGTAGGACTGCCCCTGAAATCCTCCTGATCTGGTTGTTCACAAATGCACCTCACAGAGGGAGTCTATCCCTGTCATACAGGAGGGGGGACTGGGGGTCTCCCAATATCAACAAAAGAGCAGAGAAGAACAGTAGAACTAGTAAACAGAAAACCTAATGCAGCAGTTTAATTATGTGCACGGAGATCGTACCGTGTATACAGTCTTTCGTTGTGTACTGATCGAAAGGGAATAAACGTTAACACACACCCCCCCCTCAAGGTGAATTATCCTGCTGCTCAGTTTTTCATGAGATTTGTGCAAGTGTGAAAGCCCTAACTGTCTTAATCGGACATCACAGATCAGTCCTGATTGGCACATCAGAATAACATAAATCACTTTTTACAAGCATGACCTGCCAGTGAAAAAAAAAACAGCTATTTGCAGTTGAATTATGTCCCCAACTGACAGATCTGTCATGTGAGAACATAAGCCCTGCCTAAGAGGAGGCGACTCCTTATGGCACACAGTTTAAGCCCTCCTTACTTTTCCATCGAGAATGGTTTCCCATGTTGCTCTCTTCTTGCTGATGGGGCTGTCCTCCATCCCTTGCATGGACACCTCGTACTCCCCATCCAGCAGCTGCAATCTCCTGCAGACGACAAAACCAGAGCAATGATTTGAAGGCACAGTAGAGGGATTAGAAAGAGAGATGTTAAAAATAATCACTAAACCTTACCTGTTTTTATCAAAAACAGTCATCTGTGCAACGAAAGTCTCTGTGGCATCTCCGTCGTCTCTATGGGATGAACTTCTCTTCTTTCGACTAGGAGTATCTGTTACATCTTTTTTTTAATTAAAGGACATAAAAAATGCATGCACCATTTAATCATTAATACAAACTCTACAAAGACAAAAAAAAACACTAAGGGCTTAGATGTAGATTCCCTACCGATGTTCTCATTGGCCTCTCCGTTCACCAGACCATTAGTATCCCTTCTCCCTGTGCATGATACCCTGAACAGGAGCGAGTAGGACTTGACCATGTGGCTGTTACTGGGCTCAAACTCGTTACTGGACACCAGTAAGGAAGGGTAGGCCCCAGGCTTGGTTTGGTTGCTGTCAGGATTCAAAGGCACCTGCTTTTTACCTGTAGGCACTTGCTTAATAGGGCAGCTGACATCCTGAAACAACACACTTAATTGAACACGCGGTAGCAGCACATAAACATTGTTCTACAAAGCGAGAGACTTTGATTAATGGTGACTTTACCTTGCGTTTTTTATGGCAGACTTTGACAAGTAGCACCTCTAGCGACACGGAATTTTGTTCATTTTCTGAATTCTGTGATGGCTTTTCTGCAAAATGAAAAAAAAAAACAATCTAGTGTTAATCTTTTTTTTCTCTTCCCATTTCTGATACACAACAAATGATGGCCAATGTTTACTCTATGTGATGGTTATAAAGCTAATGCTCTTTTGGTATTGAAAATGACCTCAGTTGGGGAGAATATAATCAAAACCCTTGATTGAAAATATATATTTTTTTAGCATGGATGTAGTTAATGACACTAGTTTGTTCAAGTCAATGCAAATCTGCTTTTATGTATTTGGAATATGACCTTGACATGTAGTAGGATCGTCCAAACTGCTTTTATTGTACTAAACCAAAGTACAGTATAGACATCATCTTCATCTAGATTTACTCTATCGGAGCTTCCATGCCGGTTTGAGACATGTATCCATGGAAACAACAACATTACCAATGTGTCTACATAAACTAAAATGATCGACGATGTACTGATTTAAAAACACAATTAACCCGGGAAGTTTTATATCAACACTTAAACTGATGCATTATTGATGATACTTTGCACTGCCTGTTATGCTGTTGAAGTAACAACTGCATTGCACTGTGGGATATTTTTGCTGACATAGAATCTAGTGCTGGCATACTGTAAGATTCCCTCATTAATAGTTTGCACTGTATGTAATCTTTTTTTTCTTCTTCTTTACTTAGCCAATGTTGAGTGCCTGTGGAGGTGTGTCTCTCAAAACAAACATATCACACTAAAGTATAAAGAGTCAAACCTGCTTACCATCCTTATGGAAGAACCCAGTGAAAGTTAACTGTAGATGTGATGACAAGCTAAACAACAAGCAGAAAAATATACAGATAAGTCATAACAAGTGCCCCAGTTTTTAATATGAACAATCGTACATTGTATCAACACTGTTTGGCTGGTATATTGCCGAGAACTATTCAGCAATAAAAAGGGCATTACGGCTCTTTAAGAGCTTATTTTTTACCTCGGAGAATCCTGCTCTCCCTTCATCTTCTCGACTGTCTGCAACATGTCATCCACTTTGAATGTTTTCCTGGGAGGAAGGATTAAAAGTCACAGGATTAAAGTGAGTTATTAGTTCTGTGACTCATCAGAAATTACATTAAACTGATCATGCATCAATTGTATTATGAAACCTTGTTGGTGCAGTTTCATTCGTACTAAAAGCAACTCTGTTCATGTATAATATCTGAGAAGACATCATCAGATTGCATACCTTCTGGCATTCGTTCGACCGTTTCTGTGAGCCATGAAGGTAAGCGACCTGTGCAAAAATATGGGCTACAAAAAGGGAGAAAAAAAAAAATGGATTCATTAAAAATTGACAGTTCGATAAATAGAATAAAAAAACAAAACTGGTATAGTCAATCACTTACTGCAATCAAGTTTCTTGTGCGAAGAAATCTGTATATCTGAGTTGGTTCTGGAATGAGAAACAGATGTTATTGTGATCAATCAATTTTTATCTGTATAGCGTCAACTCATAACAAGCGTTATCTCGAGACACTTTACAAAAAGCAGCTAAAAGACCTTACTCATTGTTGTGTTACAAAGACCCGGCCTATCCATCATGAGCACTTCAGCAAAAAGTTACAGTGGTGAGAAAGTGATGCTGATAATCACTATGGAGTCTCAACAAACTTCTGACAGATCAATCCAGCGAAAACAATCACATATTCAAAATGAACTTAGGTTTATAAAAAAAAAAAAAAAAAAAAGGCAACACTGTGGTCCATTTGGTCTGCATTATGACACAGGCCACAACTTTATCATCGACCACCTTTCAATTCACTGCGTCAGAACCTGAAACAGTACTGGATGCTATGTTTACTTTACAAGAAGACATGTTAACAAGTGTTTTGCCAAATAAACACTCAATACATTATGTGTCCCTTCCCCCCCCCCAACTCGGATAATTGCTTCTCCAATAAATCTATTCAACAGTGTCAAGTCACAAACATTTACTTAGTGTCCTCATGGACTGACAGGCAACATGTGCAGGCCTTTCAGGTAAAAGAAAGATAATGAAAGCAATGACAGCGGGGTTAAAGATGTGGGTTTTAAGCAAAGGGAACGTCCTCCCCCATGTAATAGAGACAGTAAAGCTGCATTACAGCTGGACGATAGAAACTCTTACTTTCAAAGGCCTGCAGAAACAGCTCATGGTCGGCCTGGATCTGCTCCATCTTCGGCTTCTTCACAGAGTTCATCATGGCTGATGAGGCGGGGTACACGGCGCCGTTTGCTTTACAACTCGCCCCACTCATAATATGACCTGAGCTCTGCGTGTGAAACAAACAAAACAAAACAAAAAAAAAAAACACAACACGTGTTAATAAATATGGTTTAAAGTGGTGGCTACGCGTTAGCTGCGCTAGTGGGCGAGTTAGCAGAGACGCTAGCTAGCTCGAGCTAACATGTTTGGACAGCTTGGTATTTCTTTTTTTTTAGCGCAGGAATGAGTCGTTTAATTACAAAAAATCGATAATCGGCTGGTAGTACACGTCGGGCGTGAATAGTAGCAACCCACCCTGGCCGATGGCATTAATTAGATGTCCCACTGCCGCCAGCAAGAAGCCTGGCAGACTCAACAGCAGAAACCCATGAAGAAGAGGGCGACGAGACAGCGGCTAGTTAGCTCGCAATGCTAACATGGTTTACAAGACAATAAACCTCGGTTCCCCAACATTCAACTGTCCTAAAAACTGTAGTTTGATATCCGAGATACGTGGATTATTATTATTATTATTTTTTATAATAGGATAATTGATTATCTCTCTGGTATTTATTGTCGGTGTGGTTCCCTTCAATTTGTACTGAACAACAGAGTGTTAGTCTGCTGTCGGCCAATGGGAAACGGCCTGACAGAATGCAGCGCTGTGATTGGCTGCCGGTATCCGGAGATGACACACGACCCGCTCTCGCTTTCTGTGATTTTGCGGGAAATCGAGTTTATCGTCATTCACATCACAAGAAAAAGATCGTCACTGAAAGTAGTTTTAGTCAGATGACAATGAAAGCAAGAGAAAAACCATGATGCAAATACAGATTTTATTTATTTGTCTGCTTCTTTTTGTAATAAAACTAACTTACACATTATAAAGTTTACATTGAAGTAAATGGCAATTGATTGATTGATTGATTGATTTGATTGATTGATTGATTGATTGAGTGATTGAGTGATTGATTTGATTGATGTCTTTATTTTGAACATGTAAAAAAACAAAAACAAAGAAAAGCTGTAATTAAAAATATGTAGAAAACAAATAAAATAAATACACAACATTAGAGTGAAAATTCAAAGTCCTGCAGTCGCTCTTACATGCCCGAAAAGGAGTAGGAGGAAGGTAAAACTTATCTAATCCTACCCCTTTTAACTCAATTTAATAGGTATTAAATTGTATTCATTATACAATAGTATATAATATAATGTAAAATGAATTACTTGTATACCATTATCTAATTATCTAATTACACCAATAATGCATATTCCCATCACCATAATAAAACTGTACAGTGTACCATCACCAATAGATAAAGATAAAGATAAACTTTATTGATCCCCCATGGGGGAAATTTTTGCATTACAGCAGCTCAAGAAAACAGGAAACAGGAATATAATTATTAAAAATAAAAATAGAAGTAAAAAATAAATAAAAATAGTATGCATGAATTAAACCAAAAGTAAATTATTGAATACAAACACACCCCAGTGATTGTAATTACCCTTCCTCATTCCTGTACCTAATAAAAACTATTTCTTTATATCATTTTTTGACTAAACTCAATAATTACAATATATGTATGTATGTAGGCTATTTATGAGTATTTTATTTCGCTATTATACATATACAGACATTTTAAACAATGCAGACAGTTCAAACAAAGTCAACAGTCATGTATTATGAAGAGACTGAAAAATCATTAATTAATTATCATGTTTATTTTTCACAATGCAAATTAGAGAAGAAGCTGAAAACTTTCATTCATTCATTCAACAGTAAACATAAAACCGATACTTGACAACTTGAGGAAGATTTTGGTAGCAAACACCTAGAAGCACAGCAGTAACGCCTCTCGTAGTTGTCACATTTTGAAATGAATTAACTTATTTGTTGTTTCTAATTTGTCTTCTGAACTTTAGGTTATCTAGATCAACATGTTTGTGTTTAAATAAGAGTACTCATACAACTTTCCTCTATCACTATTGTGTCTCTAACAGATTGAACTAGTGTGTTGGTATCCTATATATTTATATTTTTTATGTAGTTTGAGTTGGTTTTGGGGTCATATTTACATACTTTAACAACATCACCACCTCATGCTACACACCGTGTGTTTTTTTTTTTTAAGAACAAGTTACTGTGTAATTTTACATTTACATTATTGTATTTTTTTATATTATTGTATTTTTTTTATTTAAATTATGTAAATGTGTTTGACATTGTGTTTTAACTTCTATTTTATTTTTTATAAGTATATTCCTGTCCCCTGTTTTCTGGAGCTGCTGTAATGCACAAATTTCCCCCACGTGGGATCAATAAAGTTTATCTTAATCTTTATCTTTACTTGCTCGTGTTTCCAGTCGGACCAATTTGCAGACGGGACCGGAAACGATGTGCATCACAACTTCCACACATGTGTGAAGTGGAGCATCAGCCAGCCCACAGCTGCAACGTTTCGGTCTCATGGTGTCTCAGTTAAAGACGACATTTCTATCACTTTATTTCTACAGAATATAACTTACCTGAGTCCGGAGCGGCTGCGTGCGCATCATGGCGGAGATCGTCCAGCAGCGGATTGAGGAGAGGATCCCTGAGCTGGAGCAGCTGGAGAGAGTGGGACTGTTCACCAAGAAGGAAGTCAAGTGAGACAACTTCTAACTTAGCCTGTGGCTTCTTGTTAAAAAGGAACAACACACCTCAGATTTAAGATTTTTAGATTGGATGATTTAGTCTCAGAAATGACCGATATGTTTTTATTGTCTCCATGAAGGAATAAAACCTTTGACCCAAAACCATTTAATTTTGTCATCTTAGCATTCCCTTGATGACCTGAAAATAATGTAAACAAAATCAGGCGAGTTTTTAAAATCGAGAGAAATTCATGTTTCAATTCTGAGGTTGTTTTTATTTATCAGATTGATTGAATTTAATTCAGAAATATCAAATAAAATCAAACATATCAAAAATACAAAACAAAATGAAAAGCACGAAAATACAATAAACAAAAATGTTCAAATTATTTCAAAAAAAGAAAAAGAAAATTACATAATATATTAAATTGATATGCCTGAAAAGGAGTAGGAAGAAGTATAAAACTTATTTAATCCTACCCCCTTTTCCACAGCTCAATAATTCATTTTTATTAAATTAAATTAACTTCCTGTGTTCCTTATAATCTCTATATATACAATCTATCTATATACAATTTGCTATACTATATTTATGATACTATATTTGATATTTACAAGGCAATGATTTTCCATACAGATCCATAATAAAGAGAGCGACAGCCCTGGAATACAAGCTCCACAGGCTGATCATAAACAAAGAGGACTTCATCGCCTACATTCAGGTAGAAGCCAGCGTCTTTCTTTTTTTTTGGGATGAGGGCGTTATTAAATAATGTGTGATGTATGAAGACTCTTACTGGAAAATTGTGTTTATTTTCAGTATGAGATCAACATTTTAGAGCTGATCAAGAAGAGGAGAGCGGTAAGTCCCTTGTAATAAACTGAAAAAGCTTTGCTCAAATGTTGATGTGAAGTTTAGCTTTACTTCAAACCGTGTCATGTTTTGTAACAGTTATTTTTTTTGCTTTTGCAGCACATTCATTACCAGTTCAAAAGAGAGGAGATCGAGTATCCCATCATCCACAGAATTAACAGCGTCTTCAGCAGAGCAACAAAGAAGTGGAAGGTAACCATGAACACTTTTAAAAAAAAAACAGTTTAAAATGTTTTTTTTATGAAATCAGCAAACTGTAGCACTTTGAGATTTACTTCAGATTAGTGTTGTCGTACTCCAAATCCAAGACCGGTCTCGAGACCGCTTTTTAAAGGTCTCGTCTTGGAATCTAAAGCATTTTTACTCGGGTCTCAGACCGGGCAGACTCTGGATTATAAATCAAGACCGGCACTGACAGGCTATTTTCCCACGTCGTTACTGTGATTAGAAGAAAAATGGCTCTTTCCTAAAGAAGGAATAACGTCAATTAATTTGAACTTTGGACTTTTATCCGCCTGTTACGGCCTCAACCTTCCCCGTGTAACGGTGTAAGTGAGTGACATGCCGCCTGCTCACAAGATGATGATGTCTCATTGATATTTGTGGTCCTGGTCTTGGTCTAGACTCGGTCTCGACCCCTAAATATCTTGGTCTTGGTCTCAGTCTCGGTTAGTGTGGTCTTGACTACAACACTACAGCAGATGTAAAGTGTGTTATAAATAAATGTTTGATTATTTATTATTAGTGTATTGATTATAGCTAATGCGGTTGAAAGGGTTATTATAGGTCATGCAGATTAAGAAATGTTAAAAGATTCGGCATGATTTACGCCATCGAACGTGATTCACAAGTCTTGAGAAAACGTTTCAAACGTTTGTTAATTTAGCTTCTCTTGACAACTTTGTTTACAATCTTTACATTAAAGGGAATATAATAAGTAGTCATTTTGAAATGAATGAATTATTGGACTGATAAATGAGTTATAAAAAATCTTCTTTCCCGGCAGGATGACGTGCAGCTCTGGCTCTCACATGTCGCCTTCTGTAAGAAATGGGTAAGTCATGATGTCATCACTTGTTAAAAGTACGACTCTTGTCTTTATATGCTGATAATAATTATCCTCTCCTCTGGGTTTCACACATCAGGCCACCAAAGCTCAGATCAGCAAAGTGTTCTCCACTATGCTTGCCATTCACCCAGACAAACCAGGTGTGGAAGCTTTAAAATCTGTGGTGTTCCTGAACACCTGAACTTTTCACTGACACATCATCCCATGTAAAAAAAAAAATAATAATAATAATTTTTGACTTTGTATTTCCCCTTCATAGTGATGTGGATCATGGCGGCCAAGAGTGAGCTGGAGGATAGAAATTCATCTGAGAGTGCCAGACACCTTTTTCTGAGGGCTCTGCGTTTCCATCCCAACAACAAGAAAGTTTATCAGGAGGTAAAACCACTTCTGCCTTCTTTAAGTTCACTACTTATAGAAACAGACATTTTTGTAGTGAAACTTTTTTGATCATACAAAATCCAGTGACGAGCCGTGGAGGCAGCAGGTGTAGAAAAGACAGTTGTGATTGTGGATTCGTCAAATATTCTGGTCTAATTTTCGACAACAACTCTGCCTCAGTACTTTCGTATGGAGCTGCTTCACTGTGAGAAACTAAGGAAGCAGAAGGAAGAGCTGGAACTGGCTCAGATGGACCTGGTGAGTGTGTCACAGGTTAAACACAAACACACACACACGATGCATGAGGGCTGAAAACTGTGTCTTAATATCGGCTCTTTCCTCTCTGCAGGGTGAATATGAGTTCTCTCCAGAGATCCTGAGTGCTAAACTAGCCGAGATTGTGTACAGAGAGTCTACTGGGAAAATCAAAGGTAGGACATTCTAGCTTTTTCTAAGTCTGTGGTCCAAACCATGACATTTGTGACCCGTTGCACCCTTACACATGATGCTGATTTAGACTGTTGCCTAAGAAAATGATGATTTGTCAAGATATTTCCTCCTTTAGACAAGAATGTCGTCCATTCCCAGTTGAACAATCCTGCAAAAATGATTTTTCTGTCATATTTTGCTCTTACATCCTGTTGTAACTTCATGTATACACACACACACACCGATTTTAGCATGTGTTTATATGTTTTCAACCAGCTGTAAGACAAATTAATGTAGGTCCAAAAAGTTATTGCACATGTAAGGTGTCAATTATTAAAAAATTAAGCTTTCACAATGGGTTTTAATCTGAACAAACAAACCAGACAAAATGAAACCTGAAATCTTTAAGGTGCTAGGAGGAAGGTTTTAGATAGGAGTCCCGTTAATTTTTTGCTAAGATAACTGGCTTCATATTTAAGATGCAGTCACAAGAGCGCTATCAAATGATCCCTCAGCTCTGCAAATAAAAAAAAAGATAACCGTTCTTTCTATATGAAAAACTTCAGAAAGTTAACTCTTAACTTTGTTCTTGTTTTTCTCTCCTTTAGAAGCAGAGTTTGTCATCTCCCTTCTGGACATAGCAGCCATCTTTAAGTTCACCAAAGAACTCCAGGACTTTATCCTGCAGGAGTAAGACCCGAGCACACTTACACAAGACTACCTTCACTTTCTTATATATTAATATTCATCTAATATTTCATCACTTTGTTTGCAGCTTACAGGCCAACTACACTGAAGACAGCCTGACGTGGGATTTCATGGCTAGGAGGGAGCTGGAGGCTCCGGGGGCAGGAGAGGAGCTGCAGACGGCTAAAGGCCGAGCTTCAGATACCAACCGCAGAGAGGAGCGCTGCTGCCAGGTCTATGAGGAGGGGGTCAAGAGCCTCAACACTGGTAAGAGCCTCATGCACACACAGAGAGTGAATAGACATCGTGCCTTGGGTTACTCCTGTTTAATTCTCTTTATCATCTCTAAAACATAACTATATCAATCTGGCTTTCTGAAATGCCTTGAATGTATTCATTTTCTGCTGACTTTAAAAAAAAAAAAAAATTGTAGTAATACAACATCTCCATGCACGTCTTCTTTTCGCTGCAGAGCCCATGTGGACATGCTATGCTGCCTTTTGCTTGGAAAGGCTGAAGAGGAAGACAAATGTGCAAGAGCTGAAGGAAAAGGTAGCCAAAAAGTTCAGTCAAGTAAACTAACATATGAGCTGCTCCGGTGTTTCTGGCGCAGCGTTTTTTTTTTTTAAATAGTTAATTCTGACACCTGTGTTTCTGTGTGTGTGTGTGTGTGACAGAGGCAGGAGAGGCTGCTGGGAGTGCTGCAGCGGGCCCACAACTCCTCACTGCTGAAGGAGGAGTACTATAAGAACTGGGTGAGGGGCTTCATTCAATGTGCAAGTGGAATCAAAGGGGGGCTTTAACCTTTAATGTGTATTTCATTCATCACGTTTGACTAGAAGATGATCATTCTCCTCTAGATTTATTATTGAAGTCAGAGTGTTTTTGGTGTTAAACTTGAATGCATTCTATTGAAAAGTGTTCCTGACACTGTGCGTCCCTCATGTACAGTATGTTAATGGGGAGGGCAAAATATTAGGAACACTTTTCAGTATAATGCCCTCTAATAAATCTCCAGCTCCACTGTGACTTCAATATTAAAGAAGATTAAACATCATTTATCAAAAGAAGCAGATGGTAATGGCACATTTGGACCGCTGTCCTCCAATAACTTTGTCTTTTATTTTCACATAAAGTTGCAGGTCCTGCTCTCATCTGAAGACGCGGAGGGAGCGGCCGGCGTTGCCATGGCAGCCACGCAGCGCTACAGCCAATCAGTGTCAGTGTGGAGCCTGAGTCTGCAGACGCTGATACACTTGGAGAGTGGAGCCGTGGGCAAGCTATTCCAGGACGCTCTCACACACGTGAATCCCAAGGTACGCGGCGCTCACGATCACACGGTCACGCCAGTTCACTGATTTGTTCTCAATCGCATCGAGTTTGGCCATTTTCACGGGTGTAAACTGAGCACATCAGCTGTGCTTCTATTACCACACACACACACACACACACACACACACACACACACACACACACACACACACACACACACACACACACACACACACACACACACACACACACACACACACACACACACACACACACACCACCAGCCCTGCTGTTTAAGTGGGCCATCTCCTTGGCCCAGTTACTCTCAATTCCATTAAACCAAGTTCTTCAATTGGCTCTCTCTCCGCCCCCTTGTATTCCAGAAGAGGCTCAAGATGTGTAAGAGATTTCAATTTAAGCCGTCAGTTAAAAACACGAGGATTAGCATATGGTGTTATAATTTAAATTAAAGTTGAAGTGAACCCTAAATGAGGACGACAACTGTTTGAACCAGTTACTCCTGACACGTTCAGAAGCTCTGCACAAGGATCAAACTAACCCTCAGAAGTTCCCAGACACACCTCAGATTTTTTTAAGGTTGTCAGTCATGTTTTTTTTGTTTTTTTTTACCTCGTTTAATCATCAGTGATGATTTTCTGAAGTGAGCCTTTCTTCTTTTAAAAAAAAAACAACAACATTTCAGACAGTACAACATGATGTCACATGAAAGTAAATCAGATCATCTGCATAGAGTAAAACAAAAAGCCCCAGTTAAACAGAAGATTCCATAAAATCATTAGAAATGAAGTATCTGATCCATCATTCTGCTTTGCCTTGTCACTCCTACCCTTCACACAGATGTACAGAACCATTCTGTATATCACAGTATTATGCTGTGTGAGTATGTTTCTCTCAGCCGCAGGAGTTTCTAAGTTGTTGGTAGAATAGCTGCTTGTTACTGTGGGGTGGGGGTGGGGGGGGGGTTAACAGACTGTGTGAGGAGGATTACTACATGCTGCTTGTTAAGTCTTTTCTTCTTGAGATAAACACCCTCTTTAAGTGTTGGGAAATACTATAAACCCCCAGGGGTCTGTGTTTGGTTGCTGAAAAATGTAACGTTTTTTTTCTGAGCACAAAAGTGTAAATACATCAAAAAAGAAAATGTGAAATATCTGACTTAAACCAGTTTGATGTGAGATACAATTTACACATTTCTGATCGAGATCCGGCTACCTCAGAGCTAATTACAGTAACTTGCCGCTCGGCTGCTACAACAAGAAATCTGTTAAAGCTAAACACGCTCGGGTATGTTTGCTTCACTTCTCCTCCTGAAGTGTGATGCTGAAGGGAAGCATGCTGACGTCTCTTTGAGCAAGACAAGCCCCGCTAACAGCTGAATCTTTCTCATCCTGTTTTGACAGGAGAGTCTACCTCTGTGGCAGCTGCAGGTCCAGTGGAGCGTGGCCAACCAGAGTCCTGAGGAGACAGAAGCCGTCTTCAAGGTACCATGAATCCACCAGATTCACTACATCTACACTGTGTAGGGTTGTTACAACACAACTCTAGTAAGAATTAAACGATATTGATACTTGTTTCAATAACACAGGATGAAAGTACAAGTCCTGGACACTTGATATTTGGTCATTAATAACCATAAAATGAAGCCAAACTCCTGCCCACTGTCTACAATGCACAGATTCATATTCATAATGCCAATGAATTTCGATACTATTAATTATTAAAAGAATAGATTAGGGCAGAATGGTTAAGGCATGCGCCCTATGTACAGAAGCTGTGGTCCCCGAAGCAAGTCGCCCGGGTTCAAATCTGACCTGTGGCTCATTTCTTCCAGCGTGTCATTCCTTTCTCTCTGTGGCCCATCCACTGTCCTGTCGCTACAAAAAATATCTTACAAAATAAAAAAAACAAGTGCTGTCGCAAAGTGTTGGAGCATCAATAACAACCTTAACACTGAATGCTCTCACTAACACCAACATGTGCATTTCTTCAGTGTAGACCACAACGACGTCCTCTGTATGTATTCTTATTCATTTCAAGATGTTCTGAAAAAAAGAAAGCCCGACATGAACATAGACAGCAGTGGTACATGAACACCTATGTTAAATCATGTCACTTTTCTTGTGTGTAATACAAAAGGTGAAAACACAGAAGGTGTTACTCCTGCAGAGAAATACTTCTGAGAAAGCAGAACAGATTTTTAGCCCCCTTAATGCTTGCTCTGGTTTTGCCTCTGAAACGAGACACTGACTCAGACAGTTTTTTTTCCTCCTGTTTGTTCCCAGAGAGGTCTGCTGTCTGCTGTAGCGGCTGTTGCCATGGAGATGAAAGAGAGCTACCTTGATTGGTCGTTCTCCACTGGAGGCTACAAAAAAGCAAGGAAAACCTTTACAAGGTAAAAAAACAAATATGTCTGTCTGCTCGTGTTGTTATTTAACTAAATAAATGACAATGTTTTTACCAAATGAGTATCATAAATCATTGTAGTAAAAATGCAAACTAAACTCTGGGGATTCTAATTGTATTTTTATGAAGTTGAGGATTTTAATCTCTTTTTTTGTTTCTCTCTGTAGCTTAAATGAAAACCGACCTCTGTCCAAAGCCTTTTTCACCAAGATGATTCAGATCGAGAAGGAACAAGTACGTACACAAACCATGTGACACATAACACACAAAAAACAAGAACAAATCTAAAACTTTAAACTTTTAGGAATAGATTACGTGGACAATGTTTTAAATTATTTTGACTAAAAAGAAAGACCAAACTCTGAGACATGGAGTAAGATTTCTGCGCTCTCATACGTTGACATTACTGATAAACCAAGATGATGGATAACGATGTTCTTTGTTCTTTTTAAGGAGACTCCAAAGATGAGCTGTCTGAGAGATTACTACGAGAGGGCGCTGCAGGAGTTTGGCACCTCAGACGACGGTGAGCAGAGTTCAGATGACTTAAAGCAGTGGCCCCACCGCCAACTCCTCCATGAGATTATAACGTTTCTGATATTTTTCAACCAATCAGATTAATTGAATGAAAGATTGTGCAGTTTGGACCTCAGACGGTTAAAAAAAAAAAACATGTCACTGAACAAAACAAACGTGTTCAAAAAGCGCGCCATCAACGTATTTTTTTTTTGCCAAGCACACGTTTGCGACCCACTCAGAACAGCTCTGTGACCCACCTTTTGAGAACCACAGAAAAGAGTCGGAAAAAGAAGAAGCGTTATTTAAAATATTTATTCACAATGTCTTGTTATTCAAGTATTAAGGACTACATTCCCTACAACAACATAGAGCTAAAACAAATGATGTGTTAATGTCAAACGTTTTTGAAGTCATGTGACCCGACAGCTCAGATCTGAAGTGGAGATAACAGTGAAAATACATTCCTGGACAAATACTGGATCCCACTTAAACTGCTGGTCTGGTTTCAAAGAAGGAGCTCTAACTGTGGCTGTGGGAAGTGTTCTAATGGTTTCTGTTGTTTTTCTGTTTTCCTGCAGATCTGTGGCTGAAGTACATCCAGGAGGAGCTGGGACCCCAAGGGCAGCCGGAGAACTGTGGGAAGATCCACTGGAGAGCCATGAAGTTTCTCGAGGGGGAGAGCGTGGAGAGGTTCACTTCCAAATATACTCTCCTTCAGACTGGACACTTGTGAGCAGCGCTGACGAGTTCAGAGTTCAGAGGACGACTGGAAGCGTTTCAACAAACCGTGCACAAGTTCATCAGCTGAAGGAGCGGCACCCTGTTAGAATCTGGTGCTATGCCCATCCATGAATTGTTTCAATGCTTTCCAATGGCAATCCAGCGCTGCAGTTTCTCAAGTTTGCGGTCCAGCAATGTTGAACAAAATGTTCTTAGGAGTTGCGATTGCAGCTTTAAGCTGTAACATTTAACAGCTCAGATTTCCAACTTGAATCCGGTTTGCATTTTGTATTTACAGATCCTGATTTGATACCAGACTAATGTGGGACAAGTGTTGTTATGTCAAAATGTCCGCTTGAATAGAATTCCACATTTTCTTCGAGAGCAACAACTTTGATACTGTTGTCGTGATATTAAAACAGTCTTTGAAATGTTTTCTTTGTGATCCCTCTGAATCAGAACAAATACACACACACCTTGTTCCTGTTTCTTTATCTCTGAAGTTAATGTAGGTAACCGTGACGACTAGCTCAGTTGTCCTCTGAAAGTCTCTTTTCAAACTATGATCCAGTGTTTACTGTCAGTACCAATAATCATCATGAAAAATGCCCACCTTTCAGGCCTTACAAAAACACATTAAGCAGCAGTAAGTACTACATGATGACATTTTGTCAGACTAGCTAAAATCACTGAATATATTTACAGGTTTTAAGGACACTTAGTTCAAGTGATTCATTAAAGCAGCAGCTTCTACACGATGTAACAGTTACGAGGTATAAAAAAACACTAATAATCAGAATGATACAGATAATTAACATTTATTCTAATAAAACTAAATCAGGGGGATTTGAGGATTATTTCTCTTATTGGACACATGATTTTGAAAGAACCATGAGGGCAATTAGAGATAATATATCATGAAATAATGGCACTTTTTCTAACACCTTTGGCTGGTTAAAGCCCCTCTGCACCCTCTAAAATGTTCACATTTACAGTACGTCTAGTTTCAGAGTACAGAGCTTCTCCTGTTATCTGGAATCTTTAAAGAAATCAGTGCAAACAAGAAAACTGTCCAAAAGCAGAAAGCAGACGTTGCTAATAATGACTTTCAATGATGATCCCTTTAGACAAGCAGAAACACCTCCAGTCAGCAGACGTCACTGTTTTTAGAGTTTGTATTCTGAGACTGAGTGTGTTTAGAGTTTATGGTGGTAGGTAGTAGATGTTTTGTATTGAGCTACTTTTGGCTAATCATTAAAGAGTTCATGGTCAGATGCTGCTGATATTATGGAGAGTCGATGTCAGTGATGAGTTTCAGCATCTGATAGCTGATCAAAGAAAAAGCTGAAGAGGAGATATGTTAGTCAACCTCAGATTGTAATTTTCTGATGATCTTAATGCTCAGATATTTCAAACCCTGTTAGGAACCAAAATTGAGTTGAATCGATTAACCTGCTCGGTAATAAAGCAATTCAAATCAAGCAATAAATCAACATTTGCTTTTTGGCAAACAAAATCACCAACACCATTACAAAATCTATTTTTAAAACCGCCAGACTGAGTAGCAAACAAACAAACAAAGTGTAGAACAATGATTTAAAAAAAAAAAGATTTAAAAATAAATCTTAGTCTCTGAGTTATTTAAGGTGTTACATTTTCTGTGTGTCAGTGCATGTGAGACCCAAGCCATCTCCTCCCTCTGAGATGTGATGTACCCCAAAGTGTACTTTACCATGTGGGACACCAGCGTCTGACTCCACTCTGCCCTCATACAGCCTCACAGCTTCTTACAGAGGATGTAGGTGAAGAGCACCAGAATGCCCGTGGACAGCAGTCCGATCACACACTGGTGCATGCTGATGACGTCCTCCAGGGCGTGGATGCGCTCCTCCATGGCGTTGGTGTGGATGTAGTCATAAATGGAGGCCCCGATGCTCCACACCGCCCATAAAGCATCCACCAACGCTTTCATGGTAAGAGAGACCATTGAGAGGGCGGCCTGCAGCCGGGCGCCGGCCGCATCCGCTGCTCACCGGCCCCACTGCACTACAGAGAGAGAGGAGAGAGAGTGAGAGAGAGGGGGAAGCTTTGTGCGGGCATTGTGATGACATTTATATATCTACAATCATAAACAGATAACATGATCCTGTGGAGCTTCTCTCGGGAAAAGAAAAAAAATCTGAATCTGAAGTTAAAGTGAAACTCCTGATCAAAGCAGGCACTTCAAAATGCTTCATTGGCATGCTTTAAAAAAAGTTAAATACTGCAAATATTTCAATCAACTATCTGTAATGACGTTCAGGTTTGGATATGTTATCTCCTCAGCAATTGATTTCATAATGCTCTGCTTTGTTTTTATATTTCTAGACAGATTTATTATCCTTTTCATCAAGACTGATCCTTTAAGGCTTCATACAAGTTGTTCCTGCATCAGTCGTATTTAAAACATTTGCATGACTTTTAGAAACAATTCAATATTTTATCTCCTACATGTAATTTATTGTTGTCTATATGTTACAATTTTTATGCTTTTTCATGTGCAAGCTGCTTCTAAACGATTAACAACAACAGAGTAGTTTGGATTGAATTTGTTCAAATTGATAAAATTGACTTAAAGAACCCTTTGGCGGTTTGAGTAATTTCATAGTTTGAATTGAAGTGTTTTATTATCTGTTGTGGTTTTATTATTCATTCATGTTTATCTACTTGTGTCTCTCAGTTGTGGACTGGAAAAAAAAACACATTTATATTGAGCATTGTACTTGAGGAAAAATGAGGTATAATCTACACTTTACATCAGTGCTAATACTTTTACTCCATCTCCAAACTTTTAACTTAATTACATTCACCTTGCAGGTGTGGTTACTCTGCAGATTAACAATGTGTTTTATAAATATGTATCCTGATGAAAATAAGATGTAATGCTACAGAATAAACCCTCATGATGATACACTATGATGCACAGTATATAAATAAAGCCCTTATGACTTGGTTGCTGATTGGGTAGAATATAAAAATGTATGACAGCATGACACTCACTTTGAGCTACAGTTGCAATCTAACTTTCAAACATCAGCCTCATTTAGCCTGTCTATATGCCTTGTTGTGTTTCTTCACATTCCTCGCGCTCTCTCTCTCTGCTCCCACAATGCATGATGACGTCATTACAGTATTAATACACTGAACTGGCTCAACTTGATCCTCCATTTGTTTCCAGTGAGATCAGGAAAGTCCAAATCTGCAGTGCAACAGGAACTTGAGTTTGAGCTAAATGAGGAACAAGGACCGTGTGTGTGTTTGTACACTGAGATCAAAACGAACAGGCTTTTAAAAAAAATGTTTTTAAGGCAAACAAGACAATTATTGAGACGCTCAGAACTCACCCACGGGTGTCAGAAGTTAACGTGACGTCACAGATGAAGCTGCACATCCGTCCTGTCGTTGCTGGAGTATTAAGATATGTTGTTTGGGAGAAGCCGGGCTGTTGATGTCAGGTACAAAGTCGGACATTTCTTCTTGATGCAAAGTTAGTCTAAATGAAACGCGTCGGTTCCGGTCCAACCCTTCAAAATAAATCGACTCTTGTCCTGACATATTTTGGCCACAACACATTTTAACAACATGGAATACACAACCGGATTTTATTGTCTGCAGAAAAAAAACAACATGCCACCAAAATGAATCTCACTGATCGATTTAATTACTATATTCAACGCTTTAACATTATTCTTTTAGTTTGATAAGTACATTGATGTACTTTCGGGGGTTAAAGTGAGCAGCTTGTCTGCATTAAGCAGCTGACTGAACCCATATGAGAGGGGGCGTCACCACACACTCTCAAAGTGGAGCATGACCTGTTCAACAGAAGGCGAGGACAAACGAATGCAGTCATTTAATTAAATTAGATATACGTTTGAACAGTAACCTCTATTAGAATAGATGACAAGATATCAGATTTCTCAGGATTTGGGGAAAATGTCTTAAAAGCCACGATGAAGAAAACGAGCCAAAGCTTTTTCTTTCAGTTCAAGTATTGCATTTAATGACACAATTCAGAGAATTTCACAAAAAAAAAAGCAAACCTGCAAATAAAGAGACAATTATAAATGCATATACATTAACACATAAGCATACAGAGATAAAATAGCAGAAAAATGTTAAATATATTTCAATGTTAGATTAGTGTTTAAATGCAGACAGTGTATAGTATGTGAAATAAGAGTGTAGAATATCTCATTCAATTCAAGGCAAACTCTCTCTAAAGGGTGGATTGAAATCTGGACACTGACATGACAAAACATGACATTACACTACATAAAATAACATGACAGGACACAAAACAATACAACATAACATTAAAACATGACATAGCATAACAAAACTTCTTGCACTTCTTGTGAGATGCCAAACCTCATTTCGTTACTCTATACTTGTATATGTGTAATGACAATAAAGTTGAATCTCATCTCATCTCATCTCATCAAAACATAGCACAACATAACAAAATAACATGTCAAACTTAATCCCAGGGAAATCCAGGTTTTGTTATTGAGAGAAATGATACCCACACACAGGCCCTACATCTACAAATCCGCAAACTGGATTTATGGACTAATGAGGGATGTCAGAGTGAAGGGGCTGCACACAGGGGGCGCCCGAACACTCTGGGGTTCAGTGCCTTGCTCAATGGCATCTCCGCAACCAGGGAGTGACCCTCTGGTTCCAACCCTAGAAGTCCCTATGGATACGGACTGCGACACGAAACGGCACCATTCAACATGCCATGACGTAACTTAACGCAACTAACATGATGTAACATTACATGACATGACATGACAAGAAGAAATCATTTTGAATGTCGTGTCACATGTTGTCTTTAATGTTTACGCTGCGGTGCAAGACACATTTCTGACTTTGCCTGACAATAAAAAGTTCAATCGATAAACATAATCACGAGGATTAGAATACAAATCTCCTTTAATAAATGAAATCTCTGATTCTATATGTCCAGCTGTCGTGCCGTAATTACCCCCTGGTGAGCTGCTCCACGTGACCACACTCGTTGGAAAAAAAAAAAAGGTCGTGTTGCGTTTTTCCACACATGCTTGTCGTGGCGCGTCTCCGCCACCAGGGGTCGTAGCGCACCAACATGTCACACGCGAGCTGTGATGGACCTGGGGCTGGATTTCGCCTCCTGAACAGCATCGATAAAAAGAGGGGAACACCTTGAGAGAGCCGCAGACGAGCCGCCCCGGAGCTGCGCGCGGAGCGGGCGCGCGTGGCGCATGTGGACGGGCTGAGCACAACACACCGCAGGAATGTGTGCACTGACAGCCAAACAAAAACGCTCGGACATTGTTCCGTACAGTGCTCTTTGGCTGCTTTAAAGTCAGAACAACTGGAACATTTCGGGGCCACAGCGCTGCGCCCCCGAC